GAGAAAGGCTTATCCAACGGCACTCTCAGAAGAACAATGTCTCCGTGGGCAGCTCCTGTTCTGTTTGCTGGAAAGAAAGACGGCAATTTAAGGCCTTGTTTTGATTATTGAAAATTGAACTCTTTGACGGTCAAAAACAAATACCCACTACCTCTCACAATGGAGCTAGTGGATAGTTTGTTGGATGCGGACCAATTCACCAGCTTAGATATGAGAAACGGCTATAACAACCTTCGAGTCAGAGCAGGTGACGAAGCCAAGCTGGCCTTCATCTGCAAAGCCGGACAATTCGAGCCCCTCGTGATGCCGTTCGGACCAACCGGAGCCCCTGGTTTCTTTCAGTTTTTCATTCAAGACATTTGAAAATCACATATTGGACGAGATGTTCCGGCTTATCAAGATGATATATTAATTTATACAAAGCCAGGAGTTGATCATGAAAAAGTAGTCAAAGAAGTATTGGATATTCTCAAAGCTCAAAATGTTTGGCTAAAACCTGAGAAATGCAAATTTTCACAAAGGGAAGTAGCATATTTAGGGTTAATCATTTCACGTAATCAGATCAAAATGGATGAGACAAAGGTTAAAGCAGTAAGGGATTGGCCAGCACCACAAAACTTATCTGAATTTCTCACTTTTCTTGGATTTTCAAACTTCTACAGAAGGTTCATAAAACATTTTTCAAAAATTGCTCGCCCGCTTCACAAATTATCTCAGGACAATGTCAAATTCGAATGGACAAGAGAAAGAGATGAGGCATTTGAAAGCCTCAAGTCAGCATTCACCACGGCCCCAGTCTTAACTATCGCAAACCCCTACAAACCGTTTGTTTTGGAATGTGACTGCTCCGGCTTTGCACTAGGAGCAGTTCTCTCTCAAATATCCGATGTCGATGGCGAACTTCATCCGGTGGCGTTCTTGTCCAGGTCACTGATCAAGGCTGAAAGAAATTACGAAGTCTTTGATAAAGAGTTACTAGCCGTAGTATCTTCATTCAAAGAATGGAGGCTTTATCTTGAAGGCAACCCTCACCGACTAGATGTAGTGGTTTATACTGACCACAAGAACCTCCAGTCCCTGATGACGACAAAGGAACTCACAAGGCCTCAAGCAAGGTGGGCGGAGATCTTAGCTGGATTCGACTTTGATATTAGATTTTGCCCAGGAAAACAATCCACAAAGCCAGACGCTCTATCCAGACGACCAGACTTAAAACCGGAGAACGGGGAGAAGCTGACCTTTGGAAGACTGCTCAAGCCTGAGGACTTACCTGCCGATGCGTTCATTGATTTGTTGGACCTTATAGATTCATGGATTCTAGATGACATTCACGAAATTGATAACATTGAAGATATAAACTTGAGAAAGGAAATCTGGACTGACAAGCAACTTATTGAAATGATCAAGGACAAGTTGAAGACTGACCACAAGATTCAAGAAATAACACAAATTTGCCAAGACATGCCCAATTCAAAGCTAGTCTCAGGGTACACGGTTGCTGATGGTGTTTTATACTTTCGAAACAAAGCCGTGGTTCCGGACGATAATCAAATCAAGCTTCAAATACTTCGCTCAAGACACGAAAGCAAGATTGTGGGACATCCTGGTAGGATGAGAACTCTGATGCTCGTAAAAAGGTTGTTTCACTGGAATGCAATGAAATCTTACATCAACAAATACGTAGATGGATGCCAGTCGAATTACGGTAAGACACCTGTGATTAAGAACAGGTTATCAGCTTTATGAGTAAAGCCAACACACTGATCGAGAGATTAAACAATACCTGTGATTAAGAACAGGTTATCAGCTTTATGAGTAAAGCCAACACACTGATCGAGAGATTAAACAATCTGAGGGAACGAAGATTGTAAAAGAAAAATAAGTTTGAGTTCGATTACTATCTAACTAAAACATCTACTAAACAACTAAGACTTACACCTGTGATTAAGAACAGGTTATCAGCTTTATGAGTAAAGCCAACACACTGATCGAGAGATTAAACAATCTGAGGGAACGAAGATTGTAAAAGAAAAATAAGTTTCAGTTCGATAAAGAGAAAAAGGTTTACAAGATAATAATATGAACCTTATATAAGAACTCAAACTATGACATCATTACCGTTAAATGAGGTAAGCAAAAGAGAAACACTAAGCGCATAACATAACAACGCGTCACTATCTTAATTCCCCCCGTCTTTGCTACTTCATTTAACCCCATCAGACCACAAAACCTCCTATGTTTTGCTGGTGTTAAAGCCTTTGTTAATACATCTGCAATCATATCATCAGTTGATACATAAGACACTTTTACTTGCTTGCTTTCGGCCCGTTCCCTTTACCAATGATACTTCACGTCTACATGCTTTGTTCTTGATTTAAATTTTTCATTCTTTGTAAGTGCTATAGCACCTTGATTGTCTAAGTTCAATACCGGAGTGCCTTCTTGCTTAATTTCCAAATTCCTTAAGAGATGATTAAACCAAACCATATCCTGACCCCCTTCATACGCCGCTCTATACTCTGCTTCCGTCGTTGAAGTCGCAACATTTTCACTGTGAACATCATTCAACTTCCCCACATTGGAAGAGGAAAATGATTAATAGTACAGTTTGTCATAAAAATATCCAATACCGCTCACCTGAGCCTCAACACCCACACTACATATGTGCAGTACACTAAGTAAATAGTTTTCTATCATGTACATACAGGTCTGCTCAGTTTTTTGCCCATCAAAATATATAAATCACATGTTATACCACATGTAACTTTTTTGACTTCAAAAAAATTGTCCCAAGAACTCACTACATATAATTTTGTAGCTGCTCAGGCGATATTTTTGAAGCTATTTCTTAGTAACAGAAAGGGTATTACATGCAGTTGAGTTGATGATATTACACCAAAACGTTGAGTCAGTGTATGTAGTCTATCTTTTGAATGCTTTTGTCAATCTGAAAAAAGTTACAGCAGGTATTACATATGAATAACTCATCCTGCCGAGCAGATAACTGAGCATAACTGTATGTACATGATAACCACCAATTCACTGAGCCTGCTACACATATGTAGTGTGGGTGTTATGGATCAGGTGTGGAGTGATAGATCATTTTAAGACAAATGATACTCCCAATCATTTTTCCTGCCCACTTGGGGAAGTTGATTAATGTTTGCAGTGTTTCTTGTTTCTTGCTTTTCCAATTGACAGTACTATCTCCTAACATCGTGACATACCCACCAGTTGACCTCCTAGTATATGGACAAGAGGCAAAATCCGCATCAGCAAACGCCTTCAAATTTAAACTCTTTCCACCTAAAACAATCCCAACATTCCTAGTCCCACTTAAATACCGTAATACCCTTTTAAAAGCCTGCCAATGAATTACTGATGGATTGTTAAGATGTTGTGATAACTGTGAAACGACGAAGGATATGTCTGGTCTAGTCGCATTATTCAGATACATTAACATTCCGACAGCGTGTCGATAATTTTCTTTTAAATCAATGAATTCATTCACTTCCTCCGTTGTTCCAGGAATTAAATAGCTATTTGGGATCATTGGACATCCAACTGGCTTACTATCCAACATACCATATTCTTCTAGTAAGTTATTGATATATTGACCTCACCTCGTAAACCTCGGTACTTTGGACCCGTACCGAGGAAAACGTGTACCGTATCCTCGGAGCGGCTCCGTATACAAGCGGCAGATGCATTCGGGATGTCTCAGATGCATCTGAAGGCATCCCCCAGCATGCCAAGTCCACTCGCACACGCCAACACAACTGTCTACACATGTATAAACAATGCCACACCCACATGTGTAGGTGTGTGACAAAACACGGTAGCTTGACTTATCTACACACAAACATGTAGATCTTGTACACACGTATGTACACATGTGTGGCACATAAGAAAACATGTGCACACAAACCTGTGTAGTTTTGTGACACGCTATGGCTACTCACACTAAGTACGTACCTAAGTGCATCTTGTACACACCCATGCACACATGTGTGTGTCACATGTGTTACACTGTTTTTTTGATATGTGGACACACACAGACTGTTCGTGGTCACACCCACACCCATTTCTCTAAACCTAAACCAAAATTTACCACGGGGTGATGTGGGGTTTGTCACTCAACAACCCGCATCAAACACAACCCACCCACACGATCCAAACACCTTCACCCATCACTACACCACACCAATCGAAAACGAACACATTTCCCTCTCTCATCACTTTCTCTTCATCACTTTCCCTCAAAACCAGGTGGCAAGATCGGTCTGGAATACTACCCTTGGGTGAGTCCAGTCCTATCTTACAAACCTCACCCTTCTGATCGGATGTGTACC